CCTTAACCCCACCTACATTTGGGACACCACCCACACCTTCCACCTCCTCCAAGACTTCCAATTCCCCGGCTCCCAACATCTCATCTTTACTATGGACATCCAATCCCTGTACACATTGCATTCCCCACGTAGATGGCCTAAAGCCCTCTGCTTCTTCCTCTCCTGCAGGCCCAACCAGTCCCCCTCCGCCGACATCTTCATCCGCTTAACCGAACTTGTCCTTACCCTTAACAACTTCTTCAACTCCTCTCGCTTCCGACAGACTAAGGGGGTAGCCATGGAAACCCGCATGGGCCCAAGCCATGCCTGCCTCTTCATATGATACGTGGAACAGTCCATCTTCTGCAGCTACACTGGCACTATGCCCCACCTCGTCCTCCACTACATTGATGACTGTATTGGCGCTGCCTCGTGCTCCAACGAGGAGCTTGAACAGTTCATCAACTTTACTAACACCTTTCACCCAACCTCAAGTTCACCTGGACCATCTCTGATACCTCTCCCTCCTTCCTGGACCTCTCTGTCTCCATCTCTGGTGACCGCCTTGAAACCAATATCTATTTCAAGCCCACCGACTCCTACAGCTGCCTAGACTACACCTGCTTTCACCCACCTTCCTGCAAGAATGCGTTCCCCTACTCCCAATTTCTCTGCCTCTGCCGCGTCTGCTCCCAAGATGGGCGTTCCACTTGTGCGCAAATTAAGGAATGCGACTTCAACTTTCTAATTTGGAAGTGAATGTGCTATATTGACACCATGATTTCTGAAGTTAGTTGGAAGATATTTTCTGTGCCCTCCTCTTATCAGTAAGATGTCCAGATCAGACAATACTTTAAATGTGGCACAGAAATGTACAAGAAAATTGAAGAAAAATGCATGTCTGACATTCGTTTTCATTTTAACAAAACAACCTTTCAAGGCATTATATATGGAGAATAGAGACTAAATGTGATCTTGACCAGGAGTAACCAGAAATACAGGTGCCCATTTTAATGTCATGTATTCTGTCCTTATTTTATAGATTTCTATCATAAATTAATTTTGACCACATTTACATTAAAAACTGCTCAGTTGAACTTGCCAGATTGTATTTGCACGCTCCTGCCGGTGCAGCTGTTGTATTGCCTCCTAATAGGAGAGTATAACATTAGTAATTTCCATTATAATTTTAACATAGGAATTTGTAATGTAAATGTTGACGGACAGCACACATCAACACAATGTATTTTTATATACAGTGTAGGGATATTTGACATTCAACACTATAACGTAAGGAATTTTGAGGCCAACTCAAAAGCCCACAGCACCCTTTTATTCTTAGTTCAGGATTTGAAAAAAGAATGATAGAAGCAAAAGTGCCTTTCCCCATGAGGTAAGTTATCAGGGTGAATAAAGCTGTTATGTATTTCCTCCTTGCTGTTACAACATGAAGTATTAACAGAGGCCTGTGATTAACTGTGACCATGCAACACAGGTTGAACTAATAAGGTAAGACACAGGTGGTGTGAAAAAGAAGCATGCTGTTGACTGGCTCATGTACTTGATTTAAAAAAAAAAGATTTGTTGTTCATGTCTTATTGGCCTATTCGTAATTCCCAACATACCTTATATGTAATGAATTATTTCATAAGTGACCTATAGTTGTTGAAGGCAAAACAGACCATTTTGATCATTAATACCAATGAACTAAATGAAGAATTGATTTACTTTTGTGTGGTAATTGAGAGAGTAATATTGGCCAAGATACTCTGAAAACTACCAACTTTAGTGATCTACCTGAGTAAGAACACAGGCAACCTTCCCATTATCACCTCACACATATGCTATAATAGCGTTATTAGACTGATGACTGAGGGTTTTCAGTTTGCGCACCTGGATGAAAATAGTATTGTAATTATAGATTTTCCCTGAATATGGATTATGTCTTGAGACCATTTTGACGTATGCATCAGGGGATAATATTGGTTTCAGATCTCATTATGGAAACAGTTTTCAACAGTAATGCCAAATTTTGGAACATAGAACCCAGGCTTCCTTAATAGCTTGATTAGTAAAAACGTATGTAACTCAGTTATGCACACTTAGTTTCATTTGCAGTTTGCATCATGTTGCCTGATTTCGCAGATTAGGTGGCAATTAGAATGGTATGGTTGATCTCAGTAACCTTTAATAGGGAATATTAGTCAGGAATCTTACTTTATACTCTCTATTCCCTAAATTGTTTGTGAGAGAGTTATGTGAAGAGAGAGTCATTGTTTCCTACCAACGATTGAATAGTCCAGTAACACTCACTGCCTACATATCAAGAATGACTGACGAATACCAAAGAGTATTCAGCTTTTGTCGAGCTAACCTCCAACAGAAATTAACATATCCTCAAGAAAGGGAGAAGATGGCAGAATTGGAAAAAATGTGAACTTGAGCATAATTATTGATCTACCTTCAATGTTGCATTCACGACTATAAACGTTGGATAAGCTAATGATATTATTTCTGGTCATGCACTGAATTTTATGGGGCCTGCAAGAATGGACAGAGAGGTGGGAATGGCTTCCAGAAAATCAGCTGGAGGGCACATGCAGTGTGTGCTTCGTCTTGCCATTTCTGTGGCTTTTTATCAGAAACAGAATATGTGATGTCCTGCCACCACTGGCATTTTACTAGTAACAGGTGATTCTCTGCCCTGTGATGAGACAACCTTTTTTCAACTTTAGTGGCCTCCTCCTAGGCTTTGAGTGTCAAGTGAGTTTGAATCCCCATGTGGCTTTCGGAAGTAACAACAGACAGCCCTTCACCAACAAATCTTATTTCATTCTTTAACTATTCCATGCCATGCATACCTCTCTCTCTCTCTCTCAACCTCCTTCTATCTCTTACCCTTCTTTTCTGCTCATCCCCTCCACTCTCCCAGGGCTTGCCTGACTTGCCTCACAGACCACCACCCACTTACCTTGATCCAAGGATGGCACTCATTCAGCTTCTCCAGCTGGTGCAGTCCCAGCACTGACCATCATTCTTATTATTGGGATTGAAGAGCCGTCCGTCCTCTGATTAGTTGCCAACTCTTGGAGGTGTGATATTGTCTCAAAGGGTTGAGAGCCCTAATAACAGCTCATCAGCTGCCTGTTAGCTGGATTATAAAGTTGGGACACCAGAAAAGGAGTGTGGTGAGGTTTGCCCCAGTTTTCCAGCACGTTATTCAGGACATTGCCACTTTGTCGAAATTCAGCCATACATGCATTTGTGAAAAGTAAGATAATGGAATGTTATGAACAGTTTTGGTCCATTGATCTAATGAAAGCTACATTGGCGTTGGAAGCAGGCCAGAAAAAGATTAACCAGATTGATCCTTAGTGTGGAAGGACTGTTTTCTGAGAAGTCGAATAGGTTTGGCCTGTACTCATTGGAAATGAGAAGAATGAAAAGCAACATTGTTAAAACATACAATATTTCTAGGGGTTTGACAGGGTAAATACAGAGTGGTCGTTTCACCATGTGGGAGAATATCGGGCCAGAGTACATAATATGAGTGAGCCTGTAAAAGATAGACATAAGGGGGATCCTCTTCTTTCAGAGGGTCATGAATCTATGGAATTATTTACTGCAAAGGACTGTAGAGCTTGGGTTGTTAAGCATATGTAAAGCTGAGATAGATTTTTAATCAAGGGAATCAAGTGTTTTGAGGCAAAGGTAGAAAAGTGGAGTTGAAGATCATCAGATGAACCATTGAATAGCAGAGCAGACTCGATGGGCTGAATGGTCTATATCAGATGCTCCCACATCTGATGGTCTTATTATTTACACAGTTATGATCTTAACAGTGTTAAGTAGCAAAATATCTTAGATTCATAGAGATATACAGCCAAGATACAGCACGGAAACAGACCCTTCGGTCCAATTCGTGTATGCCAACCAGATATCCTAAATAAATCTAGTCTCATTTGCAAGCTTATGGCCCAAATCTCTCTCAACCCTTCTTATTCATGTACCCATCCAGATGCCTTTTAAATGTTGTAATTGAACCAGCCTCCCCCACCTCCTCTGGCAACTCATTCCAAACACGCATCACCCACTGCATGAAAAAGTTGCCGCTTAGGTCCCTTTTAAACCTTTCCCTTCTCACCTTAAACCTAAGCCCTCTAGTTTTGGACTCCCTCATCCTGGGGCAAAGACCTTGTCTATTTACCCTAAAACATGCCCCTCATGATTTTCTAAACCTCTAAGGTCACCCCTCAGCCTCCAACACTCCAAGGAAAATAGCCTTAGTCCATTCAGCCACTCTCTATAGCTCAAATCCTCCAACCCTGGCAACATCCATGTAAATCCTTTCTGAACCCTTTCAAGTCTCACAACGTCCTTCCTATTTATTACATGATTCTTGAATCATACCATAATGCGTTCTAGTTAGGTATTCGTTTTCCCAGAAAATAGTCTGTGGTAAAACTGTTTTAATGATGTTGTAGGAAGCCTCCCTTACCCACTTTCAGTGAAACAGATAAAACTTACGCAGTTCATATGTAACACCAAAAAATATGTATTCATGTGTCTGCAAAAGCTGTGATTTGGACTCGGAAGCGGAACGGTGGCTGATAATTTTCATCAGGGTTGCATCCGTCTGGAGATACAGCTTCTTTCAACCCCTGGTGATAGTGAAACAGGGAAAATTAAGAAGGACATTAGAGCTTCATTAAATCTGAAGCACATATAGTACAGTGAGATATCTGCAGGCAATTTCTTAGAAGATTACATACCATGCTCTGTGTTCCCTTTTCTTTTAAAATAGAGCAGTGTAGGCATTGATTCATGATTAAAATAAAATCTAATATTAGACGTGTGGTTAAATTACCTTTCTAAAAAAGAGTTTTGTATTTTGAATGCGTTTTTAAAAAGTGTTAATTTCATTTATGAGTTTTGATGGTAGAATTCAAACTCTTGTCTTACAATGAGACTATGCCCCACATGCAGATCCATAACTAGACAAATATTATTTCCGTTTACAGCTTGCTCTTGGGAGGTTTCCATATCCTCAGGTAAGATTGTTCATTACTGGCTTTTGCCACTGTGACATTCATCCCTATGTATGAAGGTGCAAGGGAGCAATCCTGAAAGTTTCTGCCACATACACACAAAGCTGCAGACTTAAATTGAAATATGCTATCCATCCAGTGGTTTGGAAATCATTTTTTTAATCTCCCCTTCTCTTGCCCCCAACAGCACTCTCTGTCTGTCTTCTTCCCACACCCCCTCAGTGGTCGATATAAACTAAACAGTATCCGGTTCATCTGATTTAAGTATTGTCGGCCTACATTCTTTGAGCATCCATTAACTTATTATTATGCAAATAAGAATTGTATTACACGTACAAGTATATGCATGGTAAAATTGTGTGTCTGTGTCACAAGAATGAACAATTCAGATTTGCACCTCTTGCTGATATTTTCTTTTCAGTTTGCTCTCAAAGTTTTTGACAATTGTGACAATCACTCTTGTATCTGTTTTTGAAGTATTTCCAATTATTGTTTCATATTGGACAGCTAAGCTGGTTGATAAAAACCTGCATATTAACCAAATGTATGATTGATTGAACAAATATTACATTTCTGATTTGCTAGTGCAAATGTAAAAGATTTTGCTTTCATTTCCATAAAAGGAACGGAAGGGTGGAAAAAAAACTGACATGTCTTAGGCTGTGAAACCAGGCCGGGTTAATAAATTACATTGAAATGACCCGAAGTAAAAATAACTTCTGTGCAAATAGTGCCCCTGGTATTGTAAAGCTTTGAATGTTTTCACACCCCATTAATTTATTACTTCTCTTTCTTCATCTTTAAATTTCATTTTTTTTAAATTCAGACTCCCTGCTGCAGTAGTGATTTTCATCTTGTTGTTAATTTTCCCTGCTCCATATGGAGCTCCAGACATTTCACCTGGAGGCTGTACTAGATTTTGCTGTAGTGATCGCACTTCCGGAGGCCAAAACTGTCAGTTAAGGTTCCTGGTGCATCTGTCTGCACCAGGCATTTTTTGCTGGCACTGAGTGTGAATAACAAATTGGATGCACCTGAGATTTGGATGATTAGTGTGTTTGTGTATCAGTGCTATGTATGTACTCCTTGTAAGCAGATAGCTCTGGGGGGCCTAAATAGCCGCCATAGGTGGAACTGTACTCAAACCTTACATTTTGGCTTCCCCGAGCACACTGTAAACATCCCTCACATTAAGAGGCTTGAAATATTTCATCCTGCTTTGTCATTGATTAGAAAAGAGTCTTTAATTTCATTTCACCCCATGTTGTGATTAATTTGCATTCTTTGTCAGAAGTTAATGAAGTTTTTTACGGTTCACACTGAAAATCCTTGAAGACATCTTATTTGATCTTCTGTTTATACAACCGCCGGCAGATGCTGTTTTGATTGATAGCAGGCTTTCATTCCCCAAGTTATTTTAAGCAACTGCTCTGTTTTGAATACAATATAAAGCTACTTTATTTTTGCTTTTCCTCAGTGGGGAAAAATTAACAGGAATTTATGCTAAAAATTAACACTAGCCTCTGGGAGGTTAGACCCCTCTGTCGCTGCTTAAAATGTTTTTGGTCTTTATGTAGCTCTAATTTAATGTAAAGTAAAAGTTTGCTGAATAGATGTCGAGTACTAATTGGAGTCAATGCAGGACAGTCCCTGAAGCGGCGTGTACCAGGGTTTCTTCCTTTTTTTGCATATAATCCATATTATTGACACTACTTGCCCTGAACATTTTCATTCAGATGCACACAACTCATCAAGGATTTAAATGCTTGTTTGACTTGGAAGCTGAAGTTGCAAATTAAAAAATTGTTTTTTTTAAAAAAAAATTGACACCTAGAATTTTAAACAAATTTTTATTTAAACAGTTAGTTTAGGATGAATGTTTATCATAATTGGAAATTCAATTATAATAGTTTGCCAAACTAATTTATTATAATATAATGTTAACAAATATCATGAATATTTAAACTAGAAAGCTTTGTTTCAGAAGGGAAACTGATTGCTTCAGGTGCAAAACACTAAAGGATGTTGCTGGGGTGATTGAGCTAACATTTCAGTATTAGCATGAATTCTTACGAGCCTATTAGTTTGTCTAAAATTTCAGTTTCTGCCAGTTGTGGTTTGCCTTTGTTATATTATGTGGCACTTCACTAATGTATTGACTTTAGAAATAAATAGAGACCTAGAGAATAAAAACAAGGATGTTATGATAAATCTGTACAGCAGTTTGGCCTCAGCTGGAATATAGTTTTCAATTATGAACACCTCACTTTAAAAAGGATTTGAAGGCTTTAGAGATGGTACATAAAGATCTGCAAGAATGTTCCTAGGGATGATGGACTTCAGTTGCGGAGATAGACTGGAAAAGTAGGAGTTATTCTCATTACATAAGAGAAGGTTGTGAGGAGATTTGATAGAACCATGAGGAGCCTAGACCAAATAGATGAAGGAGAACTGTTCCAATTGGCAGAATGGTCATGAACCAAAGGATTTAAGATCATTAGCAAAAATAAAAGTAACACGAGAAAGAATATTTTTTGCAGTGAGTGTTACAGGCCTGGAATATGCTGAATATGAAGGGGATGGATAGAAAATGGTTTCAAAAGGAAATAATACATGGCTAAAGAGAAAACTTTCAGAGCTCCAGGGATGGAACGTAAGGAGTATAATCAGTTCAGTTGTTCTTGCAGAGAGCCAACATAAATATTAAGGCCCAAACTGACCTCAGTCTGTGCTGTGATATAACCATGCTATGACTGATCACTTTTGAAACAACTAGATTTAAAGGCATATTAGCACTAGGGTTTTTAAAAAAAAAAGTCCTTTTCGGGTGCCTGAGAAAGTAAAGGAGATGCAACTTAAGACATTGGAAGAAAAGACCATAAGTATTAGAAACTGACATTGAAAAGTAAATATTTAATTCTATTCTGTCGACCTATCTTCTTCTGTAAACTGAAACATATACTCCATTGATAAGTCCCCTTCATGGTGAAATGCATAACCAATAAAACTCTAGACTAGCTTTCACGTAACCAAATAATGCCTGTTTGTGCTGTGTCACAAAAGCAGAAATACTTACCTGAATTTTACCACATATGTTTACAGGATTGTTTTTAAGTTATAAAATAGAACCAATATAAATAAATATCAATTAAAATGAAAATTACTGAAAGACTGAAGTCTAGTTTTCAAGGCTTCTGATATTTTTGACACTACACAAGGTTGTACTCCAGTGCAGAAATTAATCTGATTAATTATGAAGTTTTTCCATTGATTCTGAGATGTTCATCATTTTCTTTTAAAAAACAGTTTGAAACATAGTCCATTACTTTTCAGGGTCACTACAAATATTTGGAGTTAAAGCACATGAAAATAATTTCTGACTAGCACTGGTAGCAGTGAGACATTGTGGAGATGATTTCTTTTTGGGAGGTGAAATATTTTAAAATAATAGAAATAAATTGGATTCTCTTGACAAATCAATCAGTTGTGCATATCTGGACTGCATTTAATACAGATATCCAAAGTTCAGTTTGTATGAAAACTTTGCTTTCCTGAATGTGGCCAAAATGTCAACCCTGTTCAGTCACACCACAGAAGAGAATGCAGTTACTCTCTACTGATGTAAGAAGTTTGGGTTAGTCCATTCTATCGCCAAACCTAACTTCAGCATTTTACAAGTCACTCAGGATCCAATTTTCCCACTTTGTTTTCAGTTACATATGCTATTTGCATTCAGAACAAGCACAAAACAGACTTGAGTCAATTTTTCAACATTTACTTATCCTGTCACCTTCAAAAATAATGACGAGACTGTAAGGAGAGATCAGGCCAGTTGCTTTTGGAGTGGATCATCATCAGTGTATTAATTTTAAAGTATTGAAAGGCATTTAGTACACAACTTCTTCTCTGATCAAGAAAAACATTTAATGTACATTTTTGGAGTCTTCATTTCAATTTAGAAATCTTTTGTGGGGTATAGGAATTTGTTCTGAGCTAGCTGTAACAGAATCTTAAACTGATTTTATAAAACAAAATATTTATACTTAATGTACAGAGAAAATTGTTCTTCTCGCACCTTACACGCACTCTTGGACAAGATGCAAGAAAAGGTATACCTTCTGATAAGCAATTACTTTCTAACCTCTTAATTTAAAACTCTCTTTCTTTTGCAACTTCTTTTGTTTCTTTGTAGATGATGCTGTTATTTTGAGTCCTTTGACTCTTACTCCAAAGCTTCATATCATAGAATCTTGCTGTACCAAACCAGTTATTCAACTCACCAATACTGTACTACTTTTTTTCTACATGCACCAGCTACAGTGTGGTATGACACATTATCAGCTTAGGAGAATCAAGAGATGAGTTCAGTGAGGTACTGATGATGCAGCGTCCATAAACAAACGTATTGCTGTATAAACACATGAAGGCCTTTTAATATACTTCAACTCTGTATGAAGATAAATCATGGTTTTGCACAATGATGCAAGTTAGGCTGATTTTGTCGCAGCACCTTGATTCAGTTTGCAATTGGAAGGGGTGAAAGAAAAACAAAAGAAACTCTAGTTTTCTATATTTTGCAATAACTCTTCAACCGTTTCTTTAGTATCAGAATTGTAAAACTCATTGGTTTAGCTGATTTTTTTGTATATGCTTCGTATTGCATCAGCTTTTTAGGTCAAAATAGATGTCAATAATCAAAGTTCTTCCACATTATGTGAAAATGACTTTAACTATCTGTTTAATTCTTTCTTTCATTTATTGGCATTTTTTAAAGCATCATTTTTCTATTGAGTTATTTTGTATAAAGTATTTTTCACTTGAGGAGGGTTTTGCTGCATATCAACGTCCTCTGTTCATGCAAATATATGGTTAACTCATGAGAACAGCTAGGTCCATTTCTTTGAACGTGATTAAAGGACACATAGCTCAGCATGGAAACAGATCCTTCAGCCCAATTCATCCATGCCAACCAAGTTTTCTAAACTGAACTAGTCCCATTTGCCTGGGTTTAGTTGAGTGAAGTGGGTAGTTTCCACTTTGTAACTTTCAGGTACCTATGCACAGTGGGCATTCTGTGTTGGCACTTAAGAACAATTTTACAAATATACTGCCAGATGCTCCAAGGACACTTTCAACAGTTTAAATACATAACAATTTAAATACATAACAGTTTGTGTACCATGGGCAAACCAATTTGGACTTGCCAACTGCTCTAGCAAATAATACAATAATAATAATAATAATTAATAATAATGCAATACCGTTTAGTAAATCAGTTCCTTTTAGTTTTAACTGTACATTATTTTTGACGTTGGTTTATATTTTGTACTTGTTCTTTCCTCAACTTGCTCCCGATTAAGCTGTCCTATGTATTGCACATCACATGCATTCCTCAATACAGAGGATGGGTACATAGCCTGCTACATACATATGTTAACATGTCTTTGTTTGGAGCCTGGTTTGAGATTTTGTTTTGATTCATCTTTTGACTGTAACAGAGCATCATACCTCCTGCACTTCATTTTCTATTCTCCGATACTTCCATTCATTTCCCTGCCTCTCAATCTGCCTGATCCAAATAAATACCTTAATTTGTGAACCATGGAGTTAAACCTATACCCTGCCACTGTGTTATCCATGAATGTTTTGAGCCATCTTTACCATAAGGTTTTAACTCTAAGTGCTAGCATGTCATAATTTCCATTGTATTTTGTACCCTAGGCTAACCATTTTAATTTCACTTCAGATACTGTTGAGGAACAGGAAATGTTTAATCTATCACAAGCTATAGAAATGGAAATAGATGATATTATTACCGTACAGTATAGATAAACAAGACAAATATGTTTCAAAAGTGTTATTTCCCATTTAGCATCCTCCCTACCACCCACTGTCACCTTTTCCAGTGTTCTTTATCTGCAACAAATTTGCACTATTTTATCATTCATTTCAATCTTAGTTGATTCCTGTCCAGTTTTCAGAGCTGGGAGCACATCCTTTAACCCAATCAAATGAAGGCCTGCTGCAGTCAGCAGACAATTTTGATATTGATAGATCCAATAGCAGCAGGTTTCATTTAGAGAAAGCAATTGATGTTAATCCAGCATGCAAATTATTTATTGCATTGTATTTGTTATTCTTTGCTCACCGTTTGGTTCTTTCACATCAAATTTACTTAAGAAAGTAGTTGGCGAGTCAGTCTATTCCAAACATGTGCTATTGTTGTTATCCAGCATTTGAAATGATTTGATGAGATGTTTATTTCATATTTTTCCCTTGTGGAAATGTCCCTCAGCGCTGTTCATCCTTTCTTCTGTAGGTCAGTTCCGAAAATGCAAGTCACAGAAGGAGAAAATATCATCCTTTAAGTGGGAAAATTAATGGAAATAAGTTTTTTTTTTGGTTCTTATTCTTTCATAGCATAAGAGAATTAGTGACAAGACCAGTATATGTTGTCCATTCCCCTAATTGCCTTTGAGAAAGTGCCATCTTGAACTGCTACATTCCACACAGTGAACAGCGCACATTGCTATTAGGTAGAGAGTTCCAGTATTTTGACCCAGCCCAATATAGGAATGGTGATGTATTTCCAAGTCAGGATGGTGCTTGACTTGGAGGGGAACTTACTAGTGCTGATGAGGGATCTAATTTTTTTTAGGAAACTAATCATTTGATGTTCGTTTATTTCCAACAAAGGGTAGAACAGTAGATCCTTTAAAAGATAATAAGTCAATTTTTTTTAGCTTAGAAGTCTTGCCTATTTTAGACCTCTCCTTCCTCTATTCCTGAGCAGCAGGGTCAGTTTAGACTACATATTTCTTCTGTGCAACTGAAGAATCAAAAGATTTCAATTTTTTTGTTTATCCACAAATAAGCAAATATCCCTCAGTACATTAGGGCAATCAAATTCACTTATCAAATTTAAACTGGAGTTATAACTTGAGTTCTAGAGTCTAGGCTCCAAAGGGCTGCAAGACATTGAATACTCAGTTTTAATCCTTTTTAAAAAAGTGGGGTTACTTTATTGCTTCGCGAACATGCACTAAGCTCGAGTTAAATGTGTGGAGTTGAACAATCTTGAGATGTGCTGTGCTATTAAGTGCCAATCATATTCCTATAATAAATATTCCTCACATGCAACCTATGAAAAGCTTTGTCATCCAAATAATTAGAGAGCATTCCAATATCTATTTATTCCATGAACGTACAGACAATGGTCTGAAAAGCAGTGAATTTTCACTAGGTGATAAAAATATTAGAGATAAAAATTTGTCAACTGATATGGGAAGATCTGCCCTGGGTCACTGGTAAATCTCTCCAAGAAGAGCTTAAGGGCAAGTCATAATTCCAGTGTGGAAGAGAGAGATGAAAGCTATAGCTGGTTTCTTCTGTAAGTTACGTTTTGAGGTTGGTGAATCCATTTTACTGCTCTGATTGTGCTTTTGATAATCATGTAAAAGGGACAGAGGAAGGTCTACTCAGCCACTTTCTGTCAAAAAGCATTGTCATGGCAACTGAAATAGAAAAAAATACTGATAGTGAAAGTCATCCTTTTTTCTTCGTTCGCCTTAACCAGAGGCATTGATTAAATGGTGAACTGCCACGGGAAACCTGGTAAAGTGCTCAATCTACAGATACAATTCATTGAAACTGAGACAGAAAGATGATAAAAGGTCAAAACTGTAAATGCTGGAGATTTGAAATAAAAGCAGAAGATGTTGTAATTGCAAGACCAATCCACCATCATCTACAAAGTTAAACAATGCACTATAATTTTAGAGGGGACAAAGGTCTTTGTCAGAATCTTTTCACTTTATAGCGCCCTATGGATTTCTTTTGGATGATGCTGGTTTACAAGTTTTCTAATACCAGATGTGCGACTTGTTTCAATTCAAGACTTGTCCATGTTTTCTCCCCATTTGTTAGAAGAAATAGTCAAACCAATCTTCAAACATACTGCAAGTTTAAATCATGGTTGTGTCTGAAGAAATTAACTCATTCCCTTGCTGAAAATAAATGCTTCACATATGTGACAAGTGGTTGTGCTTCAAAGTACTTATTTGATTGTGGCTTGCCTTGAGATAGTCTAAGAAAATGATGAGATACTATATGTATGCAAGTTCCTAATTTTTAATATCATTCAACAGCATATGTGGGAAATTACATTTTGAAAGTTTTTTCAATAATTAGCTTGCTCTTTCTAGTTTCAAAGAAACCCTGTTACAGAGCCTTATGTGCGCATATATATTTTTAAAAAATAAGCTTTGTGATATTTTAATACTATGCTGTGTATTTCATACACAGAATAGTATTTTTGGTTCTGATTATCATTTTTGCACTTAAACTGGCAGGTGCTAAGACCTGGGGATGTTCTGAATGAAGTGGTAGGTTCCCAAATACAGTTTTTGACATTTTTGTGCTATCAACAAGCTACCTGTTTCTTTCCCTGCCACCATCTTTGTTTGCCTGTCTTCCTTTAATGGCCAAGTCTGGGTTCTCACGGCAGTTTTCAGCATCTGCTTCACATCTGCTTGTTCTGTTTTGGAATGCTTTCATTCAACAAAGGCGTTGTTTCTGGTTTGTGACAAAGCGGTGAAGGGTTGAACGACATCAAGTTTTTAACAATGAGGGAAATACTGAAAAGATCCAGTTGAATCTGGGGCCAATGATCATTTCATTTTGGTGGCACAGGTGATGGACCGTCTCATTTTGTTTTTTTTCTGGATGGGACTTTAGTTATTAATACAAATATAGAAACTCAAATATGAAACCAATCTGTCCCAGTGATATGGTAAAATAAGCATGGTATTTAAATATTTTCCCAACATGGAAAATTAAAAACTCAATGGAATATTGGCACATATATCACACATTGATTTAAAAATAACTTGAACAGCTCCATTAACTCTTTCCATCAATATATAAAGTGTGATCATTATTAAGAAGTTGGAGAAGTGATTTTTGTGATGTTCAATTTTCCATGTACTAAGAAGTACAAATTAAACTGTCTTTCTAAACACGCTAATTATTTTCATCTTTGGGAATACTACACACTGAAACAGTCCTGTTTAATTTTAAGTATTTTGTCTTTCTGTAGGACAGAATATGAAATTCTGAAGCAGAAGTTGTGTCTAATTCTGTTCTAGTCTATTCTGCTAAACATGGTGCCTTTTTTTGATGGAGACAGCAAGAGGGTGTCAGTTTTCTCCCCAGTTCATGTACTCCAAAATTTATTGCTTCTGTGTTTTTGAGTTTCTCCTAAAATTCTGCAGTATTTTTTAAGAAATTAACTTTGTAATTGTCATCACTTTATCAGATGCTGGGTTTTTGAAAAACTGAGTAACTGCATAGCCACACATTTGCCCTGCATTCATGCACGCAATGAATGAAATGTCTCAATAAATTAATTAACTGTTAATCAGACTTCATGTGTTGCCCCGATTTGTTTGAGAATGGTGTTCATCAAAAGTATGGTTTTTCAAAGTACAACTGACCCTTTGTAACGGTTGCCAAGAAATTAAGCATTTTCCCCATGTTTTGTGATAGACTGTCTAGTAAATAGCTTTCCCCTGCCTTTTCTCCCATTTCTGTTTTGTTTTCTTCTTACCTAGCTATTTCCTGTGACTGAGAAGGTAGACATTAGTAGGAAACTGGGTTTGAGGCTTATATGTCAGTACTTCGGTATAACTGACTGTCTGGGGACATCCTAAAACTGCCCAGAGATGATACAAATTTCTTTGACAGCTTCCACCTCAAAAGAAGTCAGATCAGCAACCACCTAGTGTGCTGGATTCAAACCTGTGACATTGCTCTTTGCATTGGATTTAGTGCTCATTAATACATTGTAGTCCGACTGCAATTCAACCTAGTGCAATGCTACAACAATTATTGAATTAGGTTTATTGTTCACATGTACTCACATGAATGCAGTGAAAGTTTACGAGTTGCCACTTGTGGCGTCATCTTAGGAACAAAGCAGAAAAATAATGAAAACAATGTTTAAAAAGTCAAACATTACAGTCCTTCTTATTAAAAATAGAAAAACAAAGAGACACTGTAATCGGTTCAATACTACAGTCATAAGCACCTGGCCTTGCTGGGCTCGCATTCCTCACAGGGCCCAGCCTCACCCCCGCCTCCACCCTGGCAGCCTGCTTTCACCGCCTTGTAGCCTGTTCCTGACGCCACCGCAGTCAGCCACACCAGGCTGCCTGCTCCTACTCTCGTCGCCAGCCGCCTCAAGCTCTTAAGTTGGCTTTTCAAGCCATGGTTGCTAAACTGCATTTCTGAATTCTGCTAAACTTTATTAACTTGTTCTGGAAGTTTTTAATTCAACACTTCTGTTCAGATACCAATTTTCCAATATGTTTATTTAGTTTGGTGGACATTTTCCCCCCTGTGATTTACCTTTCCAATTAATTTCTCTCTCTTATAGACATGTTTCTCATGTCACCATTTTGAATACATTTTATCTTAATTATCAATCAACTGATGAAGAACTCTTAAATTCCCTCGTGTGTCCCAAAGTCTTCTACGGCCATATAAATAGTGAAATCCTGATAAAATGAGTAGTAGGGTCGATTTGGGGCCAAATAGGGGATTTACACCAAGAGGTTGGGGGCATGGCTGAGGTTAAATCAATAGTTTACATCTGTCTTTACCAAACAGAGAAATGCTACCCAGGCTGTGGTGACAAAGGAGAGAACTCGGTCACTAGAACGGTTAAAAATTGATAGGGCAGAAGTGTTAGTTACATTGTTGGTAATTAAAGTTAATAAGACACCAGATGAGACACATCCAAGAATTTTGAAGGAAGTGAGAATGGAAATTGCAGGGGCATGGCCACAATATTTCAGTCTCCCCTAGTCTCAGCTGGTGCCAAAGAACTAGAAAATTGCAAATATTACTGCTTTGTTCATGGAAAATTTTAGGGATCAGACCAGTCAGTTTAATTTCAGTGGTAGGGAAGCTTCTAGAGACAATTATTCACGATAGAATTAGTAGTTCAATGGAAAAAGGTGAGTTAATAAGGAAGAGTCAGCATGGATTTCTAAAGAGAAAATCTTGTTTAACTAACTTGCTGGAGTATTTTGAAGAGATAACAGAAAGGCTTGAAGAGGGTAATGTTGTTGATGTGGTGCAAATGGACTTTCAGAAGGCATTTGATATAGTGCCACACAACAGGCATGTGACGAAACTTATAGATCATGGACAGAAGAGTCAGTGGAAACGTAGATACAAAATTGGCCGAGTGATGGGCAATAAAGAGTAATGGCCAATAGGTATTTTTTGGATTGGACGAAGGTTTGAAATGGAGTTCTGCAGGGGTCCATATTGAGACCCTTGCTTTTCCTAATGTGTATAAATAATTTAGATCTTGGTGTTCAGGAGGCAATTTCAAAGTTTGCAGATGACACAAAACTTGGACGAATTGCAAACTGTGAGGAGGACATTATAGAATTCCAGAGGAGATTGATGTGTTGGTGGAATGGGCAAATAGGTGGCAGATGTATTTCAATACAGAGAAGTGTAAGGTGATGCATTTTGGTAGGAAGAACATTGAAGACAATATGAAATAGGGAAGACAATTCTAAATGGGTTGTAGGAGTAGAGGGACCTGGGTATACATGTACACAGATTATCAAACATGGCAGGACTGGTAGAGAAAGCAGTAAGTAAAGCATACAATATCCTCAGTTTATTAATAAGGCACACAGTACAAGATCAAGGAGGTGACGTTAAACTTGTATGCGACACTTGTTAGACTTCAGCTGGAGTAACATGTACAGTTCTGTGTGCCATGTTATATGAAGGATATGAAGACATTGGAGAGTGCAGAAACAGTTTAAAAGAATGGTTCCAGGAATATGGAGCTTCAGTCATGAGGATAGATTGAAGAAGATGAGACTGTTCTTGGAGAGAAGAAAACTGAGAGAGATCTCATAGAATCGCTACAGTGTGGAAACAGGCCCTTCGGTCCAACAAGTCCATACCAAACCTCAGACCATCCCACCCAGACCCATTCCCCTGTAACTGACCTAATCTACATATCCCTGAACACTATGGGCAATTTAGCATGGACAGTTTACCTAACCTGCGCATCTTTGGACTGTGGGAGGAAACCGGAGCACCTGGAGGAAACCCACGCAGACACGGGGAGAATGTGCAAACTCCGCACAGACAGTCGCCCAAGGGTGGAATCGAACCCAGGTTGCTGGTGCTGTGAGGCAGCAGTGCTAACCGCTGAGCCACTGTGCGGCCTTTTTTTTTTTGCTCAGCAATACAGGAGTCCCACTGAGTCCCACTCTGACTGAGGTTTTTGAAATCACGAAAAGCTGGATAGGATAGATGGGGGGAGAAAAACTGCTTGTAAAAATGGACAAGAACAAGAGAGAATGGATTTAAAGTGATCTGCAAAAGAAGCAAGGTGAAATAAGAATAGTAGTTAGGGTATGGAATGCACTGTCTTGAAGTGTGGTAGAGGCAGGTTCAATTGAGGCATTCAAGAGGGCATTGGATGATTACTTGGATAAAAATATTGTACAAGAATATGGAGAAAAACAGGAGATTGGCACTATGTAATGGTGCTCATTTAACAAGACAGAGGAGGTACGATGGGCCACATTTCCGCCTCCTGCACCATAACAATTTTGTGTACCACCAGCAAAGATGCTGCCAGGCCACTGAGCTAACATGGATACTATCCGATCCATCATAGTTTCTAAATTTTGAAGAAAATAATTGCAGTGAAACTCTAGTTATTTCCCATTCTCTCATTTGTCAGTCCTTCATAATGTTAAAAATATAATGAACTAGCATCTATGCAGCTGTACCAACTTATATATTGTGATGAATGTTCATAATACTATTATTTGGAAACCTAGGTTCTGAAGTGGACAAAACCTGTATAGCTATAAGTTTATTTGTATTTGTATACTTTAAGGGTTAAAAAGGGAAAGGCATAGAATTCAAAACTGGAACTAAAACTGAGTGTGGTACTGGGTTGTCTCAAGTTTTATTTATATGACTGCCAATGAGGTCATTTAAACCTTTGAGATGAATAGCTCAGTGCATTAGAAGCAAAGATATAAGAGAAAAATAATTGCTGTTGCCTAACAAAAGGATATCTTATGACTTGGAGACAAAAATCCAGAAGTCAGATAGTGAATGCAGGTTTCATTCAAAGGGAAAAGGCCCACAGCAGCAACAATGGATTTTAGCAGTCTCGAAAACAAAACTGAAGAAAAGCTGCGGAAGTGAGCAGAAGCCTGTGTAAAATGCAACTAAGGGATCCTTGTTAAGAAATAAGTGAGCAGTTTTAAAAGCTTGTTTAAGGGTTTCAGGAAATGACATATATTAAAGAAATAACAACAAGTGAATGCAGAAATTTGCTGAAAAGGAATAATTGCAGCCTTGCCAACTAAAGAAGGAATTTTAAAGTGGAGGCACGGTGACTCTTCTCAGAAGTTTGATTATTTGTAATGTTTTTGAGTGTAAAAGGGTTGAATATTTACTTCTGAAACTTGTAATAAAATTATTTCAACTAGTCTTTGTATAACGAAAATAATTTAAGTTTTCCCTTTCTGTGTAATAAAATTTGGTGCTCTTTTGTTAAAAGTACTTTGGCAACATTTTCATGAATACATTCAGTGATTGTCCACAATGGTAACCAAAGAGTAAAAATAAAATGTATGTGCTATCAAACCTGATTTCAGTTTGGGATCTGACTTGCCCGATATTACTATCAGCTGGAATCATAACAATATGCTTGCTGCAAGTGAAAAATCAATAGAAGTTCTCAGTTCACAGTCAGCTAAATGGCCATTGGCCACTAAAATAAGGTTATGGGTGATCGAGTATACATTTGCATTGGTATCCCTTTGCCCAGTTTCTACCCCAGTCTAAATAGGACATTAATACCTAAATTTTATTATTAAAATTGATCACAAATACACATGTTGAGGTCTTCAAAAGACATACCAAATGAACGCTGCGGTGATATTGGATCCTTTTAAATTACACATAGTTCTCAGTGAACATTTTTTTCTAGGAGTGGGGTACTATTCTCCCCACAATTCCAGCACACGCTTCTGGTACTTTATCTTATAAAACAATTGTTAGAAAATCTTTGCTTCATTTTGAAATTGTGTGGTTTCATTATATTGTTTGTTTACTCATTTATTTTATAAGTGTAAACTAAACGTAATTTGCACACAATGATCAAATAACCAAAAGTATTTGGGCTATATTTTTAAAGGAAATCATATCAGATAGGTGTTAGTTATTTTTCTAGAATAGATTCTAAACCCCACCTTTACTTACGTATCAAATTTGGTTGCAAGCAAGTTTTTATTGAGAGAACAAATAGAATAGCAAGATTAAGGAGAGGTATGTGAAGTTTTACAGATACCACTTTAAAAACATCTTTAATAACTAAACTGACAAGTCCTACAATCAGTGTGTCTGCATTACGGAATCATATATGATTAAGCCATTAGGCCACAACTTGTCTGTAATGTTCTTTATATAGAATGTCAGTCTGAATCATCTAAACATCTAGAAATGTTTAGGTAGAATGCAAACAATTAATAAAATACACATAAAATGTAAGCAAGGTGTTGCACTTTGCTTGGAGGGTGGAGCACAAAGCTTCATTGAGCAGGCTGATTGCACTTTTCTAAAATGTTAAAGACAAGTTAAAACGTAACTCGGTCTTAAAGGCAGTTCATCTAAAGTAGAGCTGATAGCTAATATTTCCGACTGTCAGGTCTCTCCAGTACTTATAAGGTGGTTAAGGGTTGTGGGGGAGAAGAAAGAAAAAGCAAGGCTACGAGGTTGTATTTAATTGATAGAATGAATCAATTATATTTACAGTACGTTGTCAGATTCAAGAGAAACATTGACCCATGCATTGTGTTACTGCATTGTGTAATGGAAAATAATTATATTACATTAAAGTTGCAATTTCTTATCTTTTGTTTTAATTAAAACTGTGAGCACTGAGTTTTAAAAATAGGGTGGGGAATGGGTGATAGACCAATCAGGAAATTTCTTTAATGTATGTTCATATAGAAAGGTGACCTCAATGGTATGCTGGTAGATTTTAATGATTAAGAAATCATTCAAGTCCAGGAGTGCAGTGATTTTTGAACAGACTGATTTTTGAAAATTGTCTGCTTATCCTCGAGACATGAATCCTGTTCTGCCAAAAGGAAGAAAATCTCTGTCTATTAGGTGTAAAAGTGCACCAGCGCAGAGGTCAGCTTTCCCAGCTGAAGTTGGGGATAGAGTTCAGCTATATCAACAAACTAGAGATCTAACGGGAGCTATCCCAGCACAGAATGAAGAGCAGGAACTTTAGGAAACATATTTTTCTATATCAATGAGTGCTGAATTATATGTGGATAAGATTAAGTACATTTGTATAAAACATGGTTTGCAAGTGCATTTATTTGTATCATGTGGATCTTTCTATGGGTATTCTATTCAGAATATGTTCCAAATTATATATACATTTCATATGAAATTAGTACAGACAGTTTCAAAACAGGTCATACTGAGTATTGGAATACAACTTGCCTCACTCAGTACAAAACTATCAGAACCTGAAATTATTAGACTGCAATTCTGGCACTTTTTACCAGACTTGTGTTCACTGGAGCCTTCTACTGTGTTGGCCATACCAGTAAATATAGGGCCGTTAGCGTCATAGAGATGTACAGCACAGAAACAGACTCTTCGGTCCAACTCATTCATGCCAACCAGGTATCTGAAATGAATCTAATCTGATTTGCCAGCATTTAGCCCATTTCCCTCTAAACCCCTCCTATTCATATACCTATCCAAATGCCTTTTAAATGTTGTAATTGTACCAGCGTCCGCCACTTCCTCTGGCAGCTCATTCCATACACGCACCATGCTCTGCGTTTTTTAAAAAAAAAAAAAATTGTCCCATAGCTCCCTTTTAAATCTTTCCCCTCACACCATAAACCTATGCCCTTTAGATTTGGAATCCCCTACCTCAGGGAAAAAAGATCTCGTTTATTTACCCTATCAATGCCCCTCGTGATTTTATAAACCTCTATAAGGTCACCCTTCAGCCTCTGATGTTCTAGGGAATATAGCCCCAGTCTATTCAGCCTCTCCATGCAGCTCAAACCCTCCAATCCTGGCAACATCCTTGTAAATCTTTTCTGAACCCTTTCAAATTTCACAACATCATTCCTATAGCAGGGAGACTAGAATTGCTCACAATATTCTAATGTCCTGTACAACCGCAAAATGACTTCCCAACTCCTGTATCAACGCGCTGACCAATAAAAGCAAGCAAACCAACGCCTTCTTCACTATCCTGCCAACCTGGGACTCCAATTTCAAGGAACTGTGAACCTGCACTCCAACATCTTTGTTCAACAACACTCCCAAGACCTTTCCATTAAGTATATAAGTCCTGCCCTGATTTGCCTTTCCAAAATGCAGCACCTCTCATTCATCTAAATTAAACTCCACGTGCCACTCCTCCGCCCAGTGGCCCATCTGATCATACTATGAGGTAACCTTCTTCACTGTCCACTACACCTCCAATTTTGGTGAGAGCTGCAAACTTATTAACCATATCTCCTGTGTTCACATCCATATCATTTATATAAAAGATGAAATGCAGTGGACCCAACACCAATCCTTGTGGCACACCACTGGTTACAGGCCTCCAGTCTGAAAAGCAACCCTCCACCACCACCCTCTGACTTATACCTTCGAGCCAGTTCGGTATCCAAATGGCTAATTGTCCCTGTATTCCAGAGCACTTAATTAACATTAACATTAATTCTTGCCCATATTACTCTGTCTGCACCTCCAACGTCTTCTACCTCCAGGATGACAGGAACGCTTAATGATGTCCCATATGATCTCCATATCACCCGCTCTTTATATAGAAATCACATAAAACCAACAGTCTTAAATAGCCATGATGTGGAGGTGCCGGTGTTGGATTGAGGTGGACAAAATCAGAAGTCACACGACACCAGGTTATAGTCCAACAGGTTTATTTGAAATCACATGCTTTTGGAGTGAAGCCCCCTTTCATCAGGTGAAGTCACAAATTTCATAAATTTCTTGGGGAGTGTTGTTGAACAAAGACGTTGGAGTGCGGCTTCATAGTTCCTTGAAAGTGGAGTCCCAGTTCGGCAGGATAGTGAAGAAAGCGTGTGAAATTTTCAGTACATGAATCTATTGTAGCTTGATACGAGTTTCTTGGGCCCAGGTTAACACCTGGTCTGAGATTTCATTTACCCTCTAACATGAGGGCCTTGGTTCCTTCCCAAAACATAGATCCTGGAAGGAAATCGTAGAGGTTTGGATAAAATGATATTGAATACTGTTTCCAGGTCTGCCACTCTTGCTGTAACTCCCAAAGTAAAAATATTAAATTGATGAAAAACAGAATGCTTTACAGAACTTAGATTGAAAATATGCCATGGGGTAGTCTAGAGTCAGCTTTACCTTGCAGCCATGCTTGCTTTACTTGGTCTCGGTGTGCTTGATGTTTACATTGTCTGAAATGGGAAAATATTCATGTCCCCAGTGCAAACATCCCTTTCCTTGGTAAGCTGAAAAAAAATCAAACGAAAAAATGTAATTTCCCACTTATATTCAGTGGGAACTGACATAGTTTTGATTTCAGCTAATTCATTGGGGAAGGATGTATGAGTGAAGATTCTAATTAAAAAAAAATTGCTGCTTTGAAAATTTCCGTTTCATGTCGAGAAAGACAAGATTGGTCAAATCACTTGTAAATTGTGCTTGTGTTCAATGGGCATCAAATAACTGGTAGATTTTATATTTTGAATCATCTTTTAATTTGAAAGGCAGAGGATTTGAATGCACGGGGAACAAATATTGAGTTTAGTCTTGGATTTGTACCATAGCCAGCGATTGTTATTTATATGGGATGTGTAAACAGCACTGTAACTGTATTATGCTTTCTTTCCCCCTCACTTGTATAACCTGGAGGGTACTAAAAAGTGTTCTGCAAAATTAACATTCTGCTGACTTTCGCCTATAAATGAGAAGAATAGCTATTAACATTTGTGTATTTTCATTATGTAAATGGTGTTAACACATGCCCACAAATTGCCACCAGCTATGCAATAATTTTCTCTCAGTGATCGTAATGTGTCCAAGTGAGTCATTTTGATTATGACATGCTAATTACATATTGCCTTTCAGATTCAGAAAAACCAGGGATCTTTAATGGTAAGGTTTTATGAGTTTGCAGAGGAAAAAAAATTCACTTTTTTTTCCTGCTGGCTGCCTTTTTGCATGCTTGAATGCTTTACTTTAAACTTAGCAAATTGCATTTTTGTTACAACAAGCACTAAAGTGCCTGTAGTAGATTAGGTATCATTAGAAATAATAGAACATCTAGGGTGTCAATGTTTTTATAAGACTTCCGCGCTGTTGATTAATCTTGCAACATTTTACTGCATTAATGATTTTCTCAGTCTACTGTAAAAGACTGCATATAAGCTAATACTTCTCTCTGTTTACCACCCCCCCTCCCCCGACCCCCGTCACTTGCCATTGCAGCCACTACAGTTATTGCAGTGCATCGTTGATGAGGTGAGTCACCGTCTTATGTGCTTTCTCTTCTAAAGTCATTCTTAATGGCCTGGAAAGTTTTATTTATACAATATACACATTATATTTTTCTTAATGAAGCTCTTGACTCTAACAACCTCTTAAGCCCAGTCCAGCTCCTTAGACCATAAGACCATCAAACCTAGCCATGCCAGACCTATATCAAGCTCAAATATGACCTTATCCATGCATACCATTCAGGCACCGTAGAGGAACTAGGTAGAGCCATGGCTCGAATTGCTGAATAATTACCTTTAGACTAACCTGAGCAGGAGCCTTCCCAAGAGGCCTAGCTCATTTAATGGCTCTAAAACTCAATCTAGAGGATGTCAGTGGTCATGCTTGATTATTTGCCGTGGTATTTTATGAAAGCAATAAAAAAGCTTGAGATGAGGAGAAAAATAGAGGAACATTGACTAATTTCAGTGAATTTTTTTTCTCTTTCTGTATCAGATCCCTTTGGTTTGCAAGGTATTCTGACTGTTTCATGCTGCCTTGCCTTAGTTATTTCAGCACTGTGAAGGAGTACTGCTGTGCTCCCTCAGCTTATAATTGACAAGAGACCAGAGATAGCCCCTAAATGGTGACAGAGCTTCAGTGTTCTCAAATTGACATTTTGTGTTAAGAAATAGCTTATATTAATGGATATCTTGTTTTCTTTTCTGCCCTGTAATATTCAGCTTACTCACAAATTTGGTAAAATATTTTCCTGCTCGGCCCCATCTCCCTCATCCTTTGCCACTTTATGACCACTGATCTTTTCTTGATTGTTTGATATTTTTATCCAGATTTTTCACAAACTGTGCAACTGTGCTCACCCTGAGGCAAAAGAATATTGATTACGCTATAAAATAACAAAATTTGCACACAAGCTATCACAGATCATCAGGGAGATTTTTTAACCACCCCTCCCCCTGTTTTTACTCTGGCAGTCTCTCTCAATACACATATTAAGTGTGTTTGCTGCCTCTGTGTCTTTTTCTTTATGCCTGAGCACTTTGCTGACATGTGCTAATAACCAAATGCCAAGAGAGAGTCCAGTTGGTGTTACCACACACTAAACATACTGAACTTGTCCTTTAGCTCATAGATTGCAGGTAATTAATAATTAAACTGTTTCAGTTGTAATGGGTTGACCTCCATGAACTGTTCATTACTCACATGGCAAAGGCATCACTCAAAGTATTTTTTCATTGCCCTTCTCTGCTATAGCTGAATATGTGGAATTCAGTTGGCCACCTAAATTTCAGCTGACCAAGTACTTACTTAAACTGCTGCAAATTAAAGCTTTCTACAATGTGAATGTTGTTCTTTACAAAAGAACGAACAATGTTTGCATCCTATGTGTACCATTTAGTTTAGGAAATGGAAAATACACCAGGGCTAATAATTGTGTGAGAATTCATATCTATGGTCTCATTCAAGTGTGGCTTTTTGGCACAAGGCTCACAGGTGCTTAGCCACGCTTGAAGATAAACTATTTTCCCTATCATATAACCTAATTATTCCTTAACCTCCGATTTTTAAGTGCTAGGTCTATTGACCCCTGGTCTGCCCTTTCTGAATTACTTCTCGATAAAGGATATAATTTCAGTTTTTTTTTAAATCCCCAGCACATTATGGGTAAATAGGAGTTATTAATTGAAAGTCCTTGTATGTAGTTACTAAAATGGAGAAGTAAGATCGCATATTTTTTTTAAAAATCTAAAATACAGCAAAATAGCAACACATATGAGATCTTTTATAAATGTATTAGCCTTGAAATACCACCGTGGAAAGTTTATGTACAGTTAACAAGTCTGCAAATCTCTTCTTCCTTGCTCTTTTATCAGCAGCACTTACCAGCTTAAAATAAGCACCAGAGAAATAAATTTTAGGTAACTGGATCAAGTATTTGTACACATTTTTATGTGTTGCAATAATTTGTTTCCTTCCATTTTAAAAGTGAATAAAGAATAAATGTCAGAATGGCTCAGTTGGTCTGAATTCTTCTGAATTGGAAGGTTCAAGAGTGTTGACATTCTGCTGCATTTCAAAAGTATTGTCCTTTAGACAACATATTAAACTAGGGCCTGATCTGCCTATTCTTGTGATTGAGAAGAAGAGCAGGAATTTACCCAGTGTCCTGGCTAACCTCCTTAACTATCAAAAACACGATCTTAGTGCATCTTACCCAGACGCAGACCCCCACCCTATCCCTGTAGCCACCCCTCCATTACAATGGCTAATCCATCCAACCCGCACATCCCTGGACACCATGGAGCATTTTAGCATGGCCAATCCACCTAACCTGCACATCTTTGGACCGTGGGAGGAAACCGAAACACCCATTGGAAACTCATGCAGACCCAGGAGAACATGCAAACTCCATACAGATTCAAGATTGGAATCAAACCTGGGTCCCTGGCACTATGAAGGCAGCAGTGCTAACCACTGAGCCACTGTACCACCCTCCCATTCATCTTACTGCTGATTTTGATGCACTGTACACAAAATAGCTGTCATATGCATCTACAATAATGGCAATGATTTGCTTAAAATAGTAATATATTGAATAAATGCGTATTCCTTCTTCCATTGCTGCAGTGTAAATTTTGAGCTCTTTTACTAATATCCTCATTGTTGTCCTTTTGCTTGCAGCATTAAAGATGTTTATGGCTTGGTAGAAGGCCATTCAACCCATTGGGTCTTATTTCTACCAGTCTATTCCCAAAGTGCCAGTCTGATTTCCTTTTGGAATCGTTGATTACCTCCTCTTCTACCTCCCTCCTGGGCAGCATGTTCCAAGTAATGGCTACTCATTGCATAAAATGGTTCTTTCACACATTCCTCACTGGCACAAAACATTTGATCTGATTCCTCTAGTCTTTGTACAGTCAGAGAATTGAAAGAGTTTTTCCTACTGTATTTCATCCAAATTTGTCATAATTTTGTACACACATACTTAATCTCCCTTCATTCAACTTTTCTGTAAGGATAACAACTTCAGTATTTCCAAACTAAACTTGAAGCTAAAATCTCTATTCCTGGAACTATTCTGGTAAATCTCATCTGCATTCTCTGAAGGATCCCATATCTTTCCTCGAGTACAATGACTAGAACTGGATGCAATACTCTAGCGATTATCCAGAGAGAGCTTCCTGAAGTTACAGTATAACTTCTCTACTTTCGTACTCATACCTTCATTTATGAAGCCCATGATCACATACATCTTGCTAGCTAGCCTTTCAGTGTTTCCATCCACCTTCAAAGATCCTCTATGCACACACACCCAGTTCTTCTGTCACTGCATATTCTTTAGAATAGAATAGTATTAAACTTGTATTGCTTCTCCCATAGATCACCTCACACTTCTCAGTATTAAATTTCACCTGCCAGTTGTCTACTCAGTCTGTTACCCTGTACTAGTGTGCAGTATGCCTGTTTTAAAAAGGTGTTTGACTTTCTTTTAAGCAAGTTATAAATAAATAACAAATGATTGCTGCTAAATTTAAATTAATGTCTCAGCAGTGGGGTCCATTGCCATTCATTAACTTCTCAAGCTTCAGCCATTCTAACTGCTTTAAATTGCCCTTGATTTATTTGGGAATTAAGAAGATCCACATTCCTGTGGCTGCTCCTTGTGTTTACATTAATGAGTCATTCCCATTTTGCCAATACTGGACTAAACAGACTCAATCTAACACAGGGATAAGAGAGACAGACTTTATATTACAAACAATCAGAACTGGCTCACAGGTACCATTGTCCTGGTATCTGAATTTAAACAAAGACAATATAAAATAAGTGGACCTTTTTCTTGTTGAAAGCATATTGTTTACGTACAATCCTTTGACTCATGGCTGGCCTTTTAGTAACCTAAATTGGTATTGCACAAACATGCACAACACACTAGTTATATTTTGCTGTGTTAAACTATTATCTGACACTGAATTCTTAAATACCAGTGGGAGTTTATCTTCCATTTTGGTTTTAAATAAAAGCATGTTCTTAATCAAGTTCTCCAATTTCTGTCCTATTCTAATAGATTTTTGTTTGAGGTGGGAAACTTGAAAATTGGAACTGATCTTCGTTTGAATGAACAAATAGCTAAAAGATTGCTTGGTTCAATATTTCACTGATTATTATATAATAATGAAGTCTTGACTCACTCATCTAAAATAACATTTTATGGCCAGAAATGCACCTGTTAAAACACCTGTATACACATAGATCAAAATGTAGGGAATACATTTTGTGATTGGCCACTTTCATTTTCTTTTAACTTACAAACGCCAACAAAGCTGGCATCTGCTTTGACATGTCTGCCAAGGACCATTGCTTGTTTACAGTAGTGAAGGAAAAATTTAAATAACTCGCCAACAAAGAAAATCGATAAACATATTGGTACAGTATGAATGCATCCATAGAAGTAGAAATCTGTCAGCAATGTGACCTCAGCCATGCTGGAGGTGTCCCAGCCTGCTCTCACTGCCCAACGTTATGTTCTAGTGTAATGTTGGATGTGAAAGATTTTGGACCATAATGTTCACTATCAAATGGCATTTTTTCCGCTGGCTTTTCCGACCTCTGTTGTCCCTTAATTTACTTTCCTGATTTGATTGTATTCTTCAAGCAGCCTCCAGTTGTATAAACAGGAGACAAAGCTCAGATGAGAGATCTACTTAATTTTCTCCCTTGTAATTACTGATCTCATTTTTCTGATAATTTGAAGTTGTAATTGGCTACGACAATTACATGTATATTTACTAATCACATTTGAAGCTCTGATTGTATCTATTTGCCACCATTGATAATGAAGCTTACAAATTGCAGAGGTGCCTTTCATGTTTTTCTTATCACATCAAAGATTCTTCAACACCACTCCCTTCTTCTGCACCAACCCCCCTCCTGAAAAAGCATGCACTCACACATACAGGCACACCTTTCTCTTTTTCTTTTTGCCATAATGAATACACGCATGCACTTGACACAGTTATATAGTAGAGAAATTGTTTGGCTCCTACTAAACGCTACACACATTGAGTTTTGCCTGAAGCATTGAAAGGTTGTATGTAATGATATATTGCTCATCCAAATGGCTGAAGCAGTCCAAAGCACTGTGAGATTAAAATAAGTCATCTCTTTGTTAATTTAAATAGGTGCATGTATCATACTTTGCAGGGTAGTTTTAACAGGGATGTCACAGAAACTGCAGCCAAAAGGTATTTTTAATGGAAAAATGAGAACAGATGAAAATGCAGTCACTTCCAGCTGCCTTTATATTCTGCTGTTCTTCAGCAATTGCAAATTTGATGAGGCAGCCATTAAACTCCCGCGGATCTTAATTTTAAGAAATTTCTGCGCATAATTCTATAAGATTTGAGCCTTTTTTTGTTGGAATAGCAAAGGAATTGCATCTGAGGATTTTTGTTATGCACTGGGTGGTACAATCATCTTGCAGCCTTTAAATTGGCTGCAATAATAACTGTTTGCTTATAATTATAATGGTAAATCTTTATGTAGTTTTTCCTGGAATTTATGCGGTTTGTAAACCAATTGTATGAGAGCAAGTTGATTATTTTTGGAATATGCTCTAATATTTTTCTGATTTTGTTTTAAAATTAATACATAATGTTGGTTCCAGTGAACTGTTAAAGTTTGATGTTATGTAAAAGTAAGTTTTAAAATGATGTTTCAAGGGCAAATTCTTGAAATTTATGATATATATACCCATCAAATGTATTTTAATATTTTGTGAAGTCAATTCCACTTGCAGAAAATTAAAGAAAATGCTTGTAGTTTTTAATAGTTAAGTAATTGAACCATATGCACACTGTAGTACAGTATTTACATGGAAGTCTGATAAGTACCCCTTAAAATACAATGACTTACAGTATCTTATATTAACTGAATAGATGACCACATTCCAGTTGTTAGAAACTCAATCAATATCTTTCTCTAAAATGTTCAGGTTTAGAGTTAAAGAGACTGCATAGGGTTTCTCAACTTGTCAGTAAAATTGATTCATTGAAATAACCTTTTTGTTTGATCTCTGTCTTTTACTCATTCTCTTTATTTCTCCTTTCTCTTTTCCCCCCTCTCTCTCTCTCTGTCCCTCATACACTTTGTCTTACTGCTTCCCAGGATCCACCAGTCCTTCCGGTTGGAGAGTTTTCTGAGCCATTTGTACATTTCATCACTCAGTGGTAAGCTCCGTTTGCAAACATGCCATCTCCTCAGTGTAAATGATACATTCCATTAGCTCTCAGACTCCAGGAGACCTTATGGCTCTTCCACATCTTTCCATAGTCAGGGAGGGACTGTGTGCTGTGAACAGATGGATAGCAAAGAAGGAAAAGAATACTGTTACTTAATTTCTGTGAATGTTACTTACATGGAAAGTCATACAACACCGTAACATGGAGCAGCTTTTGAAATTATCAGATGTCACATAAAAGTTTTAAAAAGGGGAAGGCGGGGTAACTGGTGTGAAATGTTCACAGATGTCAAGCTGAAACCTAAATGATAGTGGGTAATAGCTTTGTTTTCCCTGGAGAAGCAGCTACTTTAGAATCATAGATTAGGACCGTTACCAAACAAGTCTTTAGACAGCTTGAATTGCTTGCTAATGGGTGCATTATTCCAGAGGTGCATATGTTTGTTTATGGAGACAGCAAATTGTCCTCTGCGATAGTTAATGGTTTATAACTATGCTTCTTGTTTAGTACTCGACTCTGTTAATTTTTTGAGTGTCATCTGATATTAGCATAAGATGTTATGGGAATACATTACCTTAAATGACAGTTGCACTTCATAGAAAACAACTTGTGTGTTATAAAAACATTAAAAGACATTTTGATGCAAAAAGAAATGAAAATTTTATTGAATTTTTAAAAGAGTCTACAATTTTGCAGAAGGGTTTAGTTTGTAATTTATTTTTTTAATCATTCACAGCTATTTTCTGCTAAGTGACTGAAACATTATCCCTTCCCCATCTCAGATGAAACAAAAATTAAACAAATACAGTATTGGAAAACCAACCCAGATAGTCTGTTCTTTTACATGTCCCAACCCCCTCGTAAAGTGCAAGTACATGAAATAAATGTAATTAAAGCAGATGGTAGTAATAGTGATATCACAGCTGTCATCTTTTGTGTGTATCTGCCTCCGAAAAAGGTATAATTTAAAAAATGATTTTTAAATATAAAAATTATTATTAATGTAGTTTTTAAGAAGTTTTGACTGTGCAATGGTTAGAAAAGTACCGATCTTTTGCATTATCAATTTTGGAAGAGTTTAGGACTACAACTTGTGGAAAATTTAGAACTGGAAAGATGGAATTGTATTTTTTGTAATTCTCTTAGGATTGGTGTTGTATTTTTCCATTTTGACCAGAAGTCTCTCAGCACGGTCTTGAATTGCAATTTACTTACATTTGCATTCTAAACAGAAGCAAGGTTTGCATATGCCAACTTTATTCCTGTCCTGTACTGTTACTTCAGTTGTATTTTTGTAGAACACTTAACATTCTTTTTAAAGTTTCCTCTCGATGATTGTGGAGATAGGTATTGCATTCCATGTGCTACCAAGCCGTACAGATCTAAGGTCTCTGGTTTGATAGTTCTGTGGTGACTTCTGCAGGGACAACAGTAAAGACACAATAGTCCATTTGTTTATCCCTGAGCTGTGAGAAGCATTTTTAGTTACTCGTCATTGCTATACAGTTATCTCTGATGTGTAAAATATGTATGTAAACATCTGATAAGGATAGAATTGGGTTTGTCTCCGCGTGGTCGATCACCTGTCCACACTTGCTAGTTGAGCTTGCATGTGAAGTATAGGTACTTAACGCACTTCCAGAGAGCAGCTGGCATCTATGAATCTATTGCCCAAGACATTAAGGAAAGGAAATGGACACTGCTTACCAGCACAACCTTATAACTACAGTTTCACCCTGTAGGGTTGGCAGTAAATGCTGGCCTAACCAACCTGCCCATGTCCCCTTAACATTGTGCAGAAAAATCTCACTCTGGATTCTTTTTCTTGAGTGTTAGTGCATTGTGCTGCAGGGGTAGGATCTTGTAAGCACATGTGATTTCTCGCATGGCAACTATAAGGCTAGGAGAGAATTAGAACTAAGCATACAAGATGGAAGATGACCTTGGAATCTCTTCATGGCCAGTTCAAGAGAAGCACTGACAGTACAGGAGTCAGTCCACCCACCATGAATGCACTGGTGAGAGGGGGAGTGTGGAGCTTCTGGTGGTTATGTTTTTACCATATAAACAGAATGACCTGGATTTTGCAGTCCAAGTGGCTGAAAAGCCTGAGAGGTTCACCACTATTAAGGAATTCAACAGCAACCTCACTTGTGCTGAAGTCTGGAAGTGCAGTGTGCCTGAGTGGGTTGTGTTGGGGCCCAAAATGACAGTCCACTGTTTCTATTCTTAAAGAAACAAGGACTGTTAAATGAGAACTTTTATCATTTTGCTTACAATTTGTGCAAGATGTTAATCATATGTGCAAGCACAGACCCTCCAAGTAATTATTATTATCATGACAATAAATGCAAATAAAAATGTTTTCTTTGAATTCCCTCAGCACTTCCCATGGCCCTATACTGTCACCCTTCCCTAGCATTCTGTTCTCTAACCCTGGCTCCCCTACTTACTTTTTTCCCCTCCGGCTTTACCACTGACAGGAATATAAGCAATAACCTCCTTGTTCATGCCAGAAAATAGTTAAACAAAATGGTCCTTTCACAAAAATAACAGGTCTAGGAATTCTGCACTGTCTTATCTGCAAAGTGCTAACTTAAAAAGGGGAAGGAGTCAAGAATTTTGTGCTTGACATTTGTTGTCATGTTGATGATGAGTATAGAAGCCTGCACAGATTTATGGGCCAATGTTCAGTTAAGTAATTGCTAAGATCACTAAATTCTGGAAGAGAAACAGCTGGACGTTTAAAGTTATTGGTTGTTAGTGATGAAGAAAGAAGATTTCAGGGTGTTGGTGGAAGACTAACTGGGTCTTACTATGATTGAAGGCTATGGGAGATTGCAAAAGAAAATTACAGGAGGCTTGTCAGGGAAGAATATTATAGACATCTGATGAATGTGATAATGGGACTGGGAGTGAGGGAAGGTGATGATTGTGGGAGCCTGTAGAATTGGAGAGGTGATTGAGTTGACACTGTTGCTGGTACATGGGCGCAGTTTATGGAGGTTGGAAGTAAGGTTTGAGATCGTGGGACCTTTAGCTTTATGCAACCTAGCTTTGGTTTTGCTAGAGGCAATCGGTGCCGGTGCTGGCTGCTTCAGGCGTAAGTCCAAGTTACGATGGACACTGGGGGTAGGGAGGATGGAAGTGGATGTTAGGCCCCTTATTTGAATATGTTAATGGCTACCACCCACTTCTTGGATGGCTAAAGGACAACTTCTGCTAAAATGGCATCCAACACAACTCATACTAGAACTGGGTGTTTATAATGCAGGTGCTATTTTGGAGACATAATTGCACCAAATATCAAGTGCTGAGAAGCCAAATTTCTGAAAAACCAAGATCACTAAAGAATTGACATGGGTCCAAAACCTGTGTTGATCAGTACTTTGTTATGTTTCTGTAAAGCTGTGATCATACTTCAGAAGTTATAAAGATTGTGAAATAATTACTATGTTTGCCTATTACAGCATGAGAAAGTTGCCAACAGAAAGACCTGCACCTGAAGATCTTATGGTAAGCCATCATTTTTGAAATTATTTAATTTTCAGGTAACATCTCACACTAACAAAACCTAAAATGGCTGGATACCGAGTTCCTTTCTCAACATATCAACATATTCGTGATTTTAAACCAATAAATATATTATTAAGGGGTTTAATCCAGTTTTTACATACATTTTATTTGAAAGATCAATCATTAATGTGATTTTTTTTTGGTTAAGATATCTGTTATGTTATAAGTGATATGTGATTATTCAAGCAAGGAGCAAGGGATAAACCAGGAAACTGCAAGCCAGTCAGTCTGACCTTAGTGGTGGGAAAACTATTAGAAGCAATTCTGAGGAAAGAATTAATCTACACTTGGAGAGGCAGGGATTAATCAAGAACAGTCACCGCAGTTTTGTTGACCAACCTGAATGAATTTTTCAAACAGATGACCAGGTATGTGAAAGAGGGCAATGCATTCGATGCACTCTACTTGGATTTTAACAAGACCCTGTATAGGAGATTTATAGTGAGGGTACAAGCCCATGGGATTCAAGGAAATTTGGCTAATTAGAACCAGAATTGGCTGACTGGCAGGGAGCAGATCAAGGGCATGGTCAAAGGGTGATTATGTGACTAGAAACCAATGTCCATTGTGTTTCTGCAGGAATCAGTATTGGGACCCTTGCTGTTTGTGGTACATCTAAATGATTTGGATTTAAAAGTAGGAAGGTTGATCTGGAAGGTTGCAGATGATATGAAAATTGGTGGAGTAGTAAGTAGTGAAGATTACATGAGAATTATAGGTTGGCTGATCAGATAGTTTGATCATGTCACACAGACTTCAATCCAGATAAGTGAGGTGATGCTCTTGGGCAGAGCGAACAAGACCGGGGGATACACGATGAACAGTAGGACCCTGGGAAGCATCGAGGATAAGAGGAACTTTGGTGTGCATGTCCACCCATCCATTAAGGGAGCAAGACAGCTAGATAAACTGGCTAAGTAGGCATATAAGATGCTTGCCTTTATTAGTCAAAGCATAAAGTTTAAGAGCAAGGAGGTTATGCTGGAACTGTATAAAAAGTTGATTAAGCTACATCTGGAGTATTGTGTGCAGTTCTAGAATTCACAATATAGAAGGGATTTGATTCCATTGGAGAGGGTGCAGAGCAGATTTACCGGGACGTTGCCTAGATTGGAGAGTTTTAGTTATGAAGAGAGATTGGATATTCTTGGGTTGTTTTCTTGGAGCAGAGGATACTGAGGGGAGTGACTGATCGAGATGCATAAAATTATGAGGGTCATAGACAGGGTAGCAAAGGGATCAGTGACCAGGGGGCATAGATTTAAGCTAAGGGGCAGCAGGTTTAGAGGAGTGTGAGGAAAAAGTTTTTCAACCAGCAGGTGTGGAAATCTGGAACTCATTGCCTGTAGGAGTGGGAGAGGCACAAACCCTCATTGCATTTAAGAAGTATTTATGTGAAAACATGCAATGCAAAGGCATACAAGGCTATGGGCCAAGTGCTGAAAAATGAGTTTAGTGTAGTTAGGTGATTGTTTTGATCAGTGAAGACTCAATGGGCTGAAGGGCCTCTTTCTGTGCCGCAAACTTCTACAACTGTATGCACTTTTGTTTCTTACATATCAATAATTAGTTTAAAATCAGCTGAACCCCCTTCATTTGGTGTGTCTTAATAGGAACCAAAAGGTAAAGGGTTTTGTCCCATCTGTCTTAGCTGAATTCCAATTCAGTATCCAAAGGGCTAAGGGATGAGTTATAAGTTATGAATAGAGTAGACACTACCACTACAGGTCTACTGAGTTCTGGGAAGAATCAAGGATAAGAGGAACCTTGGTGTGCATGTCCACCCATCCTTTAAGGTAGCAAGACAGCTAGATAAACTGGCTATGTAGGCATATAAGATACTTGCCTTTATTAGTCAAAGCATACAGTTTAAGAGCAGGGAGGTAATGCTGTCAGAATCTATTGAGAGTGAAATTGTATTAATGTATCAAGTCAAAAATTACTCTTCTTGTTCTAGCAATAGATCATTCAGTTTGTTTAGTGCCATTGGCTGTTGCATTTACCTACACATTAAAACTGAAATATATTTCAAAATTAATATATTGGTCAGTTTTTATAGAAATGTTATTTTTCTTTGCAAGAATAAAATCTCAATCAGTTTAAAGCAAACATTTGGTGGGAAGTTGTCCCATGTTCTTCTGAAAGTGTAATTTACTAGTTACAAATAATGCTTTGACATCTAGGCCCACAAATATTCAGGTGGAAGCAGGTATTCTGGTTAGACATTTAAGGAAATGTTACATTGCACGTGGGATACGTCAATTAGTCTAGTCATTAGACTTGTCTTTTTACAGCAAATAATTAGTACGGTTGTACTGTTGACAGCCTGGCCTGATATGTTTAATTATGTTTCCATATGCCATTCAAGAGCTAATTTTCATTAAAATGTGTTCATTAAGTAAGCAGTTACCTCATAAGAACAATTATGATTTCTAGGAGACTGAAATGACTATTATGACCAACAAGTCTATCCCTTTCTGATAATTAATTCCCTTCTTCCAACTTTTGGGTGAAAAAGTACTCCTCACTTCCCTTGCGCTGAACGTCATCACAGCCTTGCATCACTTTGCATTTGAATCCATACCTTGCACTGTAAGAAGTCTGTGATGTTTGGTTATTTAGCTTATTGTAGAGGGAGGTCATGGGCTGGTGTCTTCTGACCTCCAAGCAACTTACGAATGAGCAGATCCTATATATAGCTAAAATTGTCACCCTATCACAGAGAATTTATGACACATGCTCTGCATTTCGATGAAATCCCTACATGATAAAGCCACCACAAAGGTAGGTTTTCTTGCTTGGACTAATTCTGGGCCTTCTAATGTAAAGCAATGTTATGTTTTTGTTTTTCTTTATGGTTCTTGACCAAAGCATATGATCTAAATTATTTTTTTTTCTCAAAATTACTCTTGTGAGGTTAGAGCTAAGATGGTAGATGTAGATGGTGACGTCAGTTTCATGACTATCAAAGGCCAAGTATTGTGTCTATACTACCAGACTTTAATTAGGATTAAACAGAAATCTGTGCTCTGTTCCTTTTAAGGGCTTGAATACTGTGTCAGTTTAAGGATTTTTCTTCAACTTTAACTAACTTTTAATTCATTTGGACTTCACTGAGTTTCATCTGAAGATACGAGATGACAAAGTGAAGTCATAAAAGCATATGATAACCACAGTGAAATTATTGTTTTTTTTAAATGAAGAGATTACACAACAACTTGCACTTATACTTAACCTTATTACATATTCATAATCATTTCAAGATGTTTCATATATAGCAGAGGTATTAATTTCTAATCAGGTGTTAGGCAGAGTTTGCTAGACCCTGACTATGACGATAAGCTTTCAGTATATATTGGACCTGATACTGGGCACTTGGCAGGAGGGAGCAAAAAATTTGGTTAAACTGCCCTTAAAGAGCTGCTTTTTCCAGGTGCTGGGTAAATTTAAGGGGATGCAACCACTTCTGGGTAAGTGGTTACATAGGGAAATGAAATAATAGTAACCTTTATCAGTGATTCTAATATTTTAAGGAAAACAGAAAATACTGGAAATAGTCAGATCTGACAGAATCTGTGGAGAAAGAAAAACAGAGTTAATGTTTCAGGCTTTTGACCTTTTATTAGAATTTTCAATGTTTTCTGTTCATAACTTCAGATTTTCAGCATACCACAGTATATTGTTAACGTACATATCAGAGTTAATTGGATCTATCACAATAATTGTAAATGCAAAATGCAAAACTGCTCAAACAATGGATTGTGCAGCCAGTGCTTGCTAACTAGTGGGATAAAGGGTAAGAGAATGAACTGATACGAAGGAGTGTTGCCTTGCCACTCCAAAGTGCTGTCCCGTAGATAACATTACAAGATATATGAAGGGTAGTAAAAGTACCAAAGTTGAGGGTACAATTGACTGTCCCAGCTACGGGTAGTGTATGTTGGCTGGATTTGTATTTTTAGTAGACCATATAGCTCTGCATCTGGCTATCTGCTGCCCTCGAATGCATGTTGCTAATTCTACAGTTCACTGCCAAGACATTGCGTCTCTGTCTAAAATGTGGGTAAAAGGTAACAACAGATGGGTGTAGTCTGTATCTAATGCAATCCCTTCTTCATTGCTCTCTCTCTGTCTTCCTGTAGAAACTTAACTGGCTCAGCTTTTGTCCTTCTGGAATATTGCACAATATACCTTTTTAAAAGGATGTGCCACCTGTGATTATTGGTTGTATTTTGTTCTGCTTATGCTTGGTTTTACTTTGTTTTTGGCCAGAATCCCATAGACTTTGTTTAATGTAATATGCCAGTGGGAGCAACTGCAATATGAATAAGCCATCTGATATTTGTATTTTTTGAACTCAGGTCAAAAAAATCAGCTGCAAGCAAATCCATGCTGCCTCAAGTAAAAGAAAAGCAATATGTTTGTAATCAGAAAATTGAGTTTAATTGTAGAAGAGTTTCAGCAGTCAATAAGTTACAAACCATTTTCAATAAAATGATTTAAAAGGATAAGGTACAGTACTTCAATAGATAATAAAAAAAACTCCATCCAAACGTAGAATGCTTAAAAAAAAAGCACACCTTATCCAATTAGCAATATCTTCAGTGCCTTCTCGTCCCTTAACTTCATTCAACCATCTGTACAGTGAATTAGCATTTAAAGTTGTGTTCTGCAACAATGCCATCCACTGATTTGGCTAGAATATGAAATACTCTCTAATCCAAACAAGAAAAGTCACTGCCTGCATCACACCAGAACAGTAAGAGACCAAAGTTGACTTTTTTGGGAACCACCATGTTTAGTCCTAGGAAGATAGGAACAGGAGTAGACAATTTAGTCCTTCAAGACTGTTTTGAACTAAATCAGATCATGCTTGATCTGTGAACTAACTCCACATCCTCACTTTGGAATTGATCTTTCAGTTAATAATTAAATTTGAA